TTAATATTAATTCTATTGGTGGTTTGGTTTAAAGTTTGGCAGCCAAACTTGTTATTCTTCCAAAATCATAATTTCCTCATAGTAGCCTTACATCTGCTTTATCTATTTTGATTTTATTGTAAATATACACAACACATAGTGATGAAGAACATCAGTGCTGAGCTTTCTTTCATTAACAGAAGAGATGTATTGATCTGTATGATCTGTATTGTGCAATGTGAGTTAAGTGCACATCAAAACAACTTAAAACAAACATTGGTTGTGTAACTGAAAAGACAGTCCCAGAAATGATCCTCATGGGCGCAAACTCCCACCTCTTCCTGTGCATCTTTCTTGCAAGTTGTTGATTGGAATTTGCAAATTATAGACTATAATGATGATTCAACCTGTTTGCAAAAATGCAATGTCGACACAGTCGAATCTGTCCGTAAGCAATGATTTATTCACAGCCCTATATACATGGGCAAAATAAAGTTCAAATGTTAAACAATCTGCTGTCATATAATAAACACCTATTTAGTAAAATGTTTTTGAAAGACATCTCTAATGCTCACCAAGACTATATTTATTTGATCACAAATGCAGTAAAATCAGTAATATTATGAAATATTTGTACAATTTAAAATAGCCGAATTCTATTTTCATGTATTTAAAAAAGTCATTTACTGAATTTCCAGCAACCATTGCTCTAGTCTTTAGTGTCACATGATCCTTCAGAAATCATTTTAATTTGCTGATTTGCTGCTCAATAAACATTTCTTCTTATTAATAATGTTTAAAACAGTTGTGCTGCTTAATATTTATGTGGAAACCGTGATACATTTTAGCATTCTTTGATTAATTGAAAGTTTAAAAGAACAGCATTTATTTAAATATATTGTTTTAATGTTACTTTTGATCAGTTAATGCACCCAGAAGTAATAGTTTCAAAAAATCTTTCTCCAATCCCCAAACTCCCCAAATAATTTTTTTTTCCAATGATACAATAATGAGCTATAAAAATATATTCCAGTATTATTCTCTTAGCTTCCTAAGGAAAGTCAAATCTCATACTGCAGTGCTAGTTCTTGTACAAGCTCATAGGTTGTCATTCCTGTAAACCAGTTGATAACGGTTGAAAATTGTGTAATTTGTATCACTCTCTCTCCATCTCTGAATTTTTTTTTTTGGTCCAATCACTATACTGTGTTCCAGACTGCGGGGGCTGGGGACTGAGTGTCCATGGTCAATAATGAGTCAATCTGTTGATCAATCAGAAGGGTTCATGTGGGATGTGCGAGCATTGAGAGTCTGTATTCTGCACAGAGAGGCCAGAGATGAAGCTCACACATTCGCTCCTCTGCCTGTTCGTGGTCGTGTCCTCTGCCTTGGTGAGTCTCTTATCACTAATCACTAACAAACAGTCGATAAATTTCCTTTATTCAATCTTTATTTGAACCCATTTGAATTCTTAAATAATTACCACTAATTAAATAATTTTCTTTTATTTTTCAGTCAGATGACACAGTTGTGAACCCTAGAGGTGCTCGTCCTATTGAACACGGCTACAAGGCACAAGACACCTGTAAGACAAAAGAATGGCCTATGTGTACAGATGACGACTGGGTACGTACTATCATTCATTTCTTTATTAAGTCATAAATACTGAGTCAAGGTTTTCATTAAGCACTGAAAATGTAACAAGTACAAATGTAACCAACCAGTTGGCTAAAGATAGCAAATGCCCATTTAAATTCTTCAGGGAAACAAATGTCCATCTGGCTGCCGAGTTCAAGGCCTCATGGACAAAGCTGACCACGATATCCTCAAGAAGATTGAGAAGATTCGTCGTCTTCTGGACGAGGGCCGGAAACTGTATCGCTCCGCCGATCAAGTGTCCAAAAACACTTACACTTACCTAAGAGAGCGACTGACTTCTAGCGCTGGTAAGAATTTGCTTCGATTCAATCTTTGATTTTTGGAAATTTTGATCATTCATGCCAAGCATGAAGTTCATTTGTGGAAGTTCACAGTCGTATTTTTAGAAGACACTATAGAAAATGTTTCCTCCTTTCTCTCAGGTAATGATAACAGGTACACCACCTTGGCCGAACAGCTGAGACAGAGGATTACTGATATCAAGATTAAAATTGACCGTCAACTCCGGTTACTGGACGCTCTGAAGTCGCAAGTCAAAGATCAAGTTGTTGTAATTCAGCGACTTGAGGTGAGCAAAATATTTATATAAAAATTATTTTAATTTATTAAAATTCTGAAATGTATGATAGCCCTTTCAAAATAAAAAATAAAAAAGATAATTGTAAGGGAAAGTTGAAAATACTTATATTTAAGCCTTAATTGCATAAGCCAATCGATTGCATGACATAACTTACTATTGAAGCACATTCTCCCAATATTATCTCTTGGCGCAGGTCGACATTGACATCAAACTACGCACATGCAAGGGCTCTTGCGCCAGCTACAGTGAGTTCTCGGTGGACAGGGAGAGCTATGTGGCTCTGGACAAGCAAATGGACCATCTCAACACTTTCCATGTCCAGAGCGTGGAGACCGTTAGTTCTCTGGGAATCATGAAGAGCAGGCCGTTGAAGGACGTGGTGTTACCCTCCATATTTAAAAGCGGAACGGGCAAAGCCGAGCAGAAGCAGCTCCTCTTCGGAGACGTGGGTCAGATGCAGCTTACTCTGGAGGCGGAGGGTTCCACTGCCGAATCTGCCGCCACTGTTAGCAAGTTCCCCACATCAGGTACGGGCTCAACTTCTTCCTCTACATCACATACCTCCACCTCCACCTCCACCGTCAAGCAGTGCACCAAATCAGTGCGCAAGATAGTGACACACACCAAAGACGGTCCCGTGGAGAAGATTGAGGTTTCGGCTAGCGGCCCCGGGTGTGAAGATTTAGAAAAAATGGGAATTTCAGATGCAGACTTTTTGACGGCAGCCAAAGAAGGGAAAGATCTGAACCGTGATGGAGTCAGAATAACCGTGAGCGGTGGGAATGAAAAGTCCATTACTTCTCTCACTCATGGCACAGATGGCCTAGGTGACTTCGGTGGAGGTTTCTTCACGGGTCTTGACACTGATAAGCAAAGGTTATCCTCATCTTCATCCTCATCCTCATCGTCATCCTCCACGAAAAGAGTCGTGTCAGATGGAAGCAAGAGTTATTCAAAGACCACCCTCTCTAGTGACCCAGCTTTTGGGGATGACCTTGGGGCGTTCATGCGTGGCGACGTGGAAGAGGATCTACCCGACATCCACGCACGAAGCGTGAAATCGCACGACGAGCGCAAGGCTGGCTTTGTTGGTGGAGGTACACTTGAGTGAAACTCTTAACTCAAGCAGCATACACAAGTGAACCATTAGCAAATGTAATTCTCGTGATAACAATAGCAAGAGTTTGTTAGATCTTCTTGGAAACATGTGGTGTAATGGACTAAACTAATATCCAAGTAATTTCCAATAACATGTCACATTTAATTGCTCATCCAGAAACATATCTACGTAATTAGTTCCGAAATGAATTATATGGATCTCTGGAACAAATGCAGCTTTGCTCTAATCAGCAGGTGTGTAATCTTCTTTCAGATTGCGCTGAAATCCTGCAGAAGCATGCGAATGGCAGTCAGAGTGGCCTGTTCAAAATAAAGCCGGCTGGGTCAGAGGAGGTAGTAGAGGTTTACTGTGACCAGGGCACTGGGTTGGGAGGCTGGACTCTGGTTCAGCAGAGGGAGGATGGGTCTGTTAATTTCAATCACACTTGGAAGGAGTATCGAAATGGTTTTGGCCGGTTAGACCAGCAGGGTAAGGGCGAGATCTGGATCGGCAACAAATTCCTACACCTTCTCACTCAGAAAGAGAGTCTTCTAAGGTTGGAGCTGCAGGACTGGGACGGGAATGAGGCCTACGCTGAGTACAGCGTTAGAGTTGGCTCGGAGGCCGAGGGCTTTCAGCTGACCGTGTCGGATTATGTGGGTGATGCAGGTGATGCATTAGTGAAAGGTCAGCCTAACCTCGGATCCTTCCTTTCACATGCTGGCATGAAGTTTAGCACCTTTGATAGGGACAGCGATAAGTGGGAGGAGAACTGTGCGGAGATGTATGGTGGAGGGTGGTGGTACAATAACTGCCAGTCGGCCAACCTTAATGGGATTTACTATAAAGGAGGCCAGTACGACCCTGGCACCGCAGTCCCTTATGAGATTGAGAATGGTGTTGTGTGGCTGCCTTTCAAACCGGCTGATTACTCCCTCAAAGTAGTGAGAATGAAGATCAGACCTGTCTAAAAACGAAAAGAAGGGATGGGGAAAAGGACAGAAAAGGACAGAAAAGGACAGCCATTGTTTTATGATCTGCTTGTCATAATGTGAAGACGTCATGTTGCCATGTACACTTTCACACAACCAGCTTACCTCATGTTTCCAATAAAAATTGTGTTCACTTCACGTTTTGGAGTGTGTGTTTTTATTTCAAAGTATCTGCTTTCTGAATAATTTTCTGGAAATTTCTGGACATCCTACAGCTAATTCATAACCACAAAAAAGCACAATGTGCTTTTAAATGTGCTTAGATCATTTTGCTTTCTTTAACTTTTCAATAAATAATGCTTATATTAGTCTGTCTCTGAAAAAAGTACAAAATCATACATTTAGGGGTACAACAGCTTGTTTTACCTTATTTAACCCCAAAAAGTTCATCGTTGTACCTTAAGAGTACATATCACTAGGCTGAAGTACAAATATGCACCTTTAGAGCAAATAGTATATTGTCCCAATGACAAGCTGTTATACCTCTAAAAGTACAAATTTCACACATTTTCTTTCTGATAGTGTATCCTAAAGATCATATCATCATCATATCATATCATCAATGATAAAAAAGGCATTTACTTATCCACTAGGTTCAATATGAAACCATAGTCAAGCCCTACTCGTTTATATATACAACTCTAGATTGTTTATTTGTTACTTTATAAGATGATTTCACATCAAGGTTGTGAATAAACAATGAGCCACTATATATCATTCACAATCATATGATATAACCCTCTCAATATGAATGCAGCTTTCAACATTAGCCATCTATGAAGCATAAACATTATTATCAAGTTTAATGCAAGTGTGTGGTTTGTTGCAGTGTGTACGGCCTTGAAATCCAGTCTCAAACAACATAATCATTATGGTTACACCAGATTTGGACACTGTCCAGCACGGCCAACATACCCTTTGTGCTCTGATGAGGAGAGGGTGAGTTATTTTGGAGAATCAGATCACTTGTTGTCTTCCAAAAAGTGCTTTTAAATAAACTAGTAAGTAAATTAATAATAAAAAAATCATTCACTGATAAATATAATAATTATAAGTTATATAAGAAAAGATAATGATTAATTCTAGCACAAGAAAATAAATAAATTATTAAACTTATTCCGCAGTTGTTGGAATCAATTGTTACTGGAAGTTTTTTCAGGGTTTTTTTCTTTGTAGGAGGATAAATGTCCATCTGGGTGTCATCTGGAGGGTTTTATTAATCTTGCAGATGAAGACATTCGGAAACGTCTGAGAAATATTTGTGAAAGGATTCAAGGAAATCAGGACGTCACTTCATCTGTAATGCAAAAGAGTGTGCAGTTTTATGGATCACAAAGAAAAGCTATCATCCAGACATATAGTATGTCAAACGTTATGGTTCATTATTTTATGAGCTTTTCTCTATTCATGTGTTTTATAAACAAGGTAAAAATGTAAAGATACCTGAAGCACCTTAGATTTAGAATCCTTAGAAGAACCTCTCCTTTAGGGTTCCTAGGGTTTCACCAGTGTGGCGAACAGTTATGTTATTTACAATATTCATTTCAAGAACCTAATTTTACCTTCATAAATTATTATTACATTAATAGGAACAAAAGGCTTTTTAGATGAACTACATGAGGTGGCCTCATGGTATTTTCTCTGTGCAGTGCAGGAGATCAGATATGTTAAGTTTGCTGAAGACCTTCACAGAAACTTAACATTGCTGCACAAGAGGTCTGCAGAACTCGCAAAAGACTTACAGAAGCATCATCACTTGATCTGGGATCAGATAAATGAAATCCGTAGAATTGAGGTAAGCGAAATCGATGCACGTGCCAGAATACTTTTTATTATTGGTTCTTAACCTTCTTCAAAGTCAGTATTCGAAGCCCCCTAAATAGCATGAATAAATATCTCTGAAAACTGTATTTTATGCCTCATTAGAAGTTTATTAAAGCCCCTTGGTCGAGAACCTGCTGTTTATTTTATTGACTGGAAAGCCCGTAATTTCAGGCTCACATAATCAATATATTTGATCAGATGTTCTGCCAAAACGTTTGAGTCAGGGATTTCATTATTTGCTTGAAGTTGAAATGTAACTTTTGTCCTGATTCAGACTTGTTTTTGTTTATTTTTTGGAGTGAAGGTGGACATTGACATCAAAATCCGTGTGTGCAAAGGATCATGCAAGCAAACCTTTGACCATGCCGTTGATAACGAAGCCTTCAAAGCTATGGAGAACAAAATGCAGCAGTTCAGCATTATTTCAAAGAGGCGAAAATCATTCTCCAAAAACAAAAAACTAAAACTTCAGTCTGTTGATCGGCCTAGTGTGTCCCCCTCTTACCGGAAAATTCCCATTGTTCGCACTGAGCTGCTTACAAAGTTTGAAGACATTGAGCAGCATCAGGTGATTTTAGATGAACTCCTAGAAGATATTTAATCAGATGTATGCCTAGATTAGTAATATGTGGGATTATTTCGTCTGACATTGTGTATGGTTTAGTAATACATGAGTAATATACTGACAAATACTGTACTTATTTCTTTTGATTTTGTTATTTATTTACTACATATTTATTTGACAACTGTGCCATTTATTTTTCCAATATCATGTTTACAGTTTCAGTTTCTCTTTCTTTTTTTTTTTACAGTAGGCTATACATCTAACTTATGTGCAGTATTCCGTGTACAGTGTAAGAAGATACAAATATCACTATTTTTATACCAGTATAAAATGAGAAAAAATAATCTACTATGGCTCTGCCTTAGTTGCAATGCAGACGCAAGTTCAGGGGGCAGTCGTGGCCTAATGGATAGAGTCAGACTTATAACCCGAAGGTCGCGGGTTCGAGTCTCAGGTCCGGCAGGGATTGTAGGTAGGGGGAGTGAATATCCAGCGTTCTCTCCACCTTCAATACCACGACTGAAGTGAGACTCTTGAGCAAGTCACCCCCGGCGCCGCAGCATTGGCTGACCACTGCTCCGGGTGTGTGTGTGTGTGTGTGTGTGCGTGTACTCACTGCTGTGTGTGTGCACTTGGATGGGTTAAATGCAGAGCACAAATTCCAAGTATGGCACGCCACACGTCACGTCCTATCCTTTTCCTTCCAAATGTGTATAAGAGACTGTACAAAATAACATTTCACACACAAGCATCAGCCTGTCAAACACAATGTATTAAATACCTCAATAAAATAACTCAAAAACTGTGAAAACTTTTACATTTTTGTAAATGTAGTGAGTGTCAAATAAATATGAATCTGAATTTTTGAATGAATATGAATATTTATGTTTAGGTGTATCTTTGGCTACTGTCGTGGTATGATTTTAACGATTTTTTGTGTTTTATGTTTTTTTTTCTTTTAGTTAAAAACTGCATTGTTTCCGCCAAAACAAACTATTTTGTCCTCAATAATGTTATTATTATTAATTTTTTGTTAGTGTACTTGTTTAACAAGAAAAATCAAGGTAAATATCACCTGTGAGCAGAATGTTTTTAATGGTGTCAATTCCAACCAAGATATAATTTTGTAAAATTAAATTATTTAATGGTCTCTGTTTAGGATACATACAATGCTAGCTACAAAAGCCTGATCAACATAAATTAATTGTATTTATTTATTTTTACAAATGTCATTTTCATGGAAAATGGAAACAGTCTGTGGTGAAAATTTTCATGACAAAGATGACAGAATTCTTCTGCGATGCATGTATATAAACTTGTGAGAGATGTGAAAAGTGTTTTAAGAAAGTTTATTTACTAGAAGTTGACAAAGTCACACACAATCATGACGTCCCAAAAAATGCTAAAATGCTCTAAAATAAGAAAACATTACATAAATACAAAGACACATAATTTTTTATAGGTCAGCTTTAATGAGAATTAGGCAGATTGTGTTACATTCCTTACAATCCTTGTTACAGTCCTTGTGTTACATCTTGTTTTACATTTTATCCTTATGTTTTTTTAATACATTTTCAATAACACAGTCTCAAACTTTTCAAGTTAATTCATTCTTTTTTTATGCATATATGAACTGTGTCTCTTGAAATGTTTAGGTTCAGGTTTTATTATCCTCCTATTCTCAAAAAAGCCTAAATTAAATGAGTGCTATTGAATAGGAATGTGCTCAAGAAATCTACTGCATCTCATTTCAGTTTACTTGAAGTTTTATTATTGTTTGAAGAAAGGTCTGATCTTCATGCTGATAGATTTGAGCGAATACCATGAGCCCTTCCAGTTCATCCACACGATGCCATCATCTGTCCCATGCTTGGCCATATATTTTGTATAAGATCCTCCCCAGTAGTATCGCCCATTAGGATTACAAGAGTGGCATCGGTTGTACCACCATCCTCCTCCATCTTCTCTTGAACACTGCTTAGAAGGATCTCCAGGTATCCTGTTTGAGATGCAGACAATTGGAAAGAGAAAGAACATATTAGATACTGCACAACTCATCCATGCAGTTTTCAATTTGGCCACCATTAGGACAGACTCTTAGGACCATACGCACCATTTGTCGTTATCTCTGTCGTAGGTGCTGAACATCATGCCGTTATGAATGGTCATGGTACGGTTCTCTCCAAACAGTTCTGTTGCACCATCCAAAAATGTGTTCCCAGCTGTTCCTGAGTAACGACCAACTGCTAGGATGTAGTTGGTGGCTTCGCCCTGCACAGTGAACTGCTCATACTGAGCATAGACCTTTGAACCGGACCAGTCTTCCATTTCGACCAGAAGCTCAGAGGGACCCATCTTTGTAAGCTGACTAGTACGGTCGTTACCCAACCAGTACTCGCCTAAAACAGTCCACAACAAGTACATTAGAGAATGAGATGATATGAAGAGTCAGTAAATGTGACTTAGAGAACCCTGCTGAAAAGATTGGATTTGCTGGTTTGGTTCTAATGGGCTTTTATATATATGCTGTTCAACAGTTTTTTGGTAATACTGGGTTGACCATGGAAGCTTGTTGGTTTAGCTGGTTAAGAAGCCAGGTTGAGGAAATCAGCACGCCAGCATCCAAAATACAACATATATTTGTCTTTTCTGCAGGGTTTAACTACATCATTAGCACTGCTAGGATACATTTGAAGTTCTTGGCTAGATACTTCAGGTACACCAGTAAAACTCCCACATGCAGAATCACCACACATCATTTGTTAGCCGTAGCTCACCAGGAGTCTGGCAGTGGCCTTTGCCCACATCAAATGCAATGTTTCCAAATCCTCTTCGGTAGTCATCCCAACGCCTGCCAAAATCAACACTGCCATCCATACGGTTCTGGATGAGCACCCAACCTTTGGAATAGTAGAGAAGTTTATAACGATGGTTGCGTCATTGGTAAAGTATGCTTCTACACACATTTTTACTCCAAAAATCTACAAATGTACCTATTAACTGCAGTTTCTGACTGAAATAAACACTACTGGCAGTAAAACACCAATAACGTCTATTGCTTTTTACACAAATTATGATTACAGGGCAGATTATCGATTAACAGAGAGTTATTTTCGCAAGGTTCCTTGCATAATACTATGTTATGACCTCAAGAGACTTGACCTCAAAGCATGACAAGAAAACTTGTTGTTTACATCAGTAAACTTGCTTGGTAGCTCACCCGGTACAGCACTGCACTTGTGGATGTATGAGTCTTGTGAAACATGAGGTACAATAAAAGAGCTCGAAGACTTGTAGAATCTAGCTAAAATGGCAAGGTTGCTTCAGCAAATTAGCTTTTTATCTTACATTTGTTTTTGATGGCATTTTTGGTTAGATTTAGGGTAGGGTTTTTTGTAGTTGTTCTGTTATTTTTCACTGGACATGAACTGCCACATACATACAACAACCAATGACATAAAATGCTGCCAGATTCACATTCATCTGTTTCGGATAAAACTGAATGCACTTTCAGTGCCACTCACTGGACATTTCAATTTGAAAGTATTACAAAACGTAATATCACTTTGCAGAAAAGCCTAAATTGGATGTTTCTCATAACTTCCCTCAACAGGCCACATGATTTTGAGATCCTGAGTTACGTAAGGGTTATGGGTTTGTTTAAAGGATGAAAGTGGACATACCTCCATTTTTACTTGTCTGATCGCAAAAGACCTTGTAAGGCATGCCGAGTGGATCAGGGCGTATGAGGTACATCTGAGATTCCTCTCCTCCTTTGCGAATGATTTCTTCGCACTCCTTGCCAGAAACCACAGGAATCGGGCAGCTGACTTTACAAGGCACTTGGCACTTGGCCCTCTGAGCAGTGATGGCTTTCTCCAAACGCTGAATCTTCTCACGGATCTTGTCAAGCACACCCTGTAGGATTTTGATGTTCTGGGGGAAGGTGATGTCCACAGCGTCCTTAATATAAGCATGCTGGGTCTCTAGGCTGTCTGTGTACTGACCAACCAGCAAACCATTGCCTATGAACCAACACAAACAGTGTTTAATAAACAGTGTTCTGCCAATTCAGCAGATTTGATTAGATTATGTAGTTCCCGGGAATCAAACCCATGTCCTCAGCATTACCAGTTGTGCTACAGGAACACTAATCAAGAATTATTCTTGTCTGATCACAATAGACTATTACCTGCAGATCTACAAAGGTTTCTATGCTCTCTTAGGAAATATAGTTACCCTCGCTGACTCTTTGTCTTTGTGCTACTTCTGTGGTCATATCCAAGACGTAGCCATAGACAGAGTTGGTGGACTGGGTCAGCTCATCCACAGATCGTTTGAGCTGATCTACAGTTGGCCTCACGTTACGTTCTTGCTTCTGGAGGGTTTTCTTTAGATCACAACCTGTGGGACACAACACACCCTGAACAGAGAGAGAGAGAGAGAGAAAAAACCCCAATTTGAATTGTGTTTTGTTTGTGCGATATTAACTTGAATTAGGGTCGTAACCAACATAAACACCAATATTCAGATTAACGGTTGACAAAATTGGTTTTCAGTGTGAGATTATTAATGCTGTACATTTGGTCTCCCCAATATTGAACATTTAGTTATGTCATTTATTTAAAGTTCTATATTGTTATTACGATCTCCTACAATATTTTTCATCTTATTCTAAAATATCAGAAATGTTATGTTGCCCATCAAAACACATATTGCACAAGTAGAATCAAAACACTTTGGCACTCTGACCATTTTCTCAGACATGTGGTTACATCCACCAGAATCTGGCTGCTCTTCCTTCTCCAGCACAAGTTTTCCCACCGGTGCTGCAGTTGGTCTTCCCCGGTAACGGCTTCCCCCACTAATGGGAGGTGGGGCTGCCGGGCCTGCGGAGTACGTCTCACGACCTCTACTGACGGGACGATGACCTCTGGGATCTAGGATTTCTTTAGGCTAAAATCAATACAAAATCCAACTAAAAATGTTACATGTTACTGCATTTTTTTAATGTAATTGTTTGCAAATGTTCATATGATTTGAGGCCATATATATAAAAAAGACTTACATCTTTTTTGTCTTCCTAAAGTAAAAAAGTGGGATAGAAAGCAAACAATAATCACTATATTATCAAAAAGTAACAATATAATTCTAGGCAATATTATAATAAATAATATTTACCGCTCCATCATCTTCATCATAGTCGCTCTGTGCAAGAGCTCCCACAATACACAGGCAAAGTAAAAAGCGAAGCTTCATTTTTGTGGAGCTCACACTTCAGTTCCAGTGAAAGTGTGCGGTTTTCAGCTAATTCAGTGCTGCTCTCCCAGAATTTATACCAGATGAGCCCCCGCACTGGAACAGGAGGGACTGCAGTGCTGGTTAATCTTTAATTTTTGAGACGGCATCATTTTTGGGAAATGAAAAAATGACATGAGCAAAGCAGTGATAAATAATCATGAAGCAATCAATGTATATGTCTATTATATAAATGCATATTTCAATATAACAAACAAATTACAGCAATAAACTGTCTGTATATTATATATGGCTGTTAATACTGAATGTAAAAAAGTGTTTACAATGGCAGATTTTGAAATAGAGATCCTGACTTCTGGCAGCATTTGAATTAAATTGCCACTGCTGCTGCTAACAGAAGAATAAATAAATGTATGAAGAAAGAAAACAATTCCAGTGTTCTGGTGCAAATTGTGTTTAAAAAATAGCATTTTTAGTACAATGATTACTACCCAATTATATGAAAACACAGTTAAGGTTTTGACGTTGAGATTAACATTAAGCACAAAAGGATGTTCAATTGAGAAACGCTTTGTCCATGTGCGTTCTGTTAAATTTGCATTACTCAGCAAGTAAACTATTGCTGTTTGTTTGGCCAGTGTGATCTGTTGCGCCATATCTTCAACCACCCACATCTCTGACTTTGACTCAGAGTTAACAGACATGACTATGACAAAAAGACACTTTGTACTCAATGTGTAGTGAAATAGTTATATTAAAAACACTAATGCTCTCAATCACTCTCACCTATCATTGTAAAATTATAGATTTGTATTTACCCTGTAAAACCTTCCGTATCATATTTAATATGTAAAATTCAAAATTATCAACATTATAAATTTTCATAAAAACCTGTTTCATAATCTACTAAATGCAATTAGTCATCTGACTGATTTTTTTAAACCCCTTTTCATGTCACAGTGCACGTCTTTTCGCTGTGAAATCTTTGCATATTTTTAAAAAGTAAATGTAAGAATAATTTTTGTATTGTTAGTAATATTTCACGATGAACACAGTGATTTCATCAAAATATTTGACCATATAAACATCAGCAATTGCACCAAAATTGCATTTGCTAAGTTTTTGCATATGACAACTTAAAAAAAAATAATTTTGTTTATTATATTTTGTAATAAGGTTCAAAAAACCAAAAACGAATGTTATCTTAGTATTATTTATGCCAAGTTTACCGGGTTAACCAGTGAAGTGAGACTGCGAATTAAATTAACTTTTGATTTGTGTTGGATGAACATTTTAAAAATTTTGGATCTCAAACTGTAGCCTAACTGAATGTATGTCAGCAGCTATTTAATACTGTGGGAAATAGAAATAGATATCTACTGACATTTTATCAGTTACAGTGTAGCCTGTGTAGACGTGTGAGTGAGTGTTGCTCATGCGCAGATGCGTGCCAACAGATCGTCATGAACACTTTACAGGAAATCCGTCGGTTCTTTTGAACTGTTCACTTTAAAGATCCGAGTAAAGACGATTCAGTGATTCTTTCACGTCATGACGTGACCCCCTCAGTTCTCGGCTCGTTACGAGTCGAACATGTCTGAATCCCATTTATGGACAGTTTCAAAAGATTCATTGAAAAGATTTGACTCACAATAATGATTCGCTCACGAATCAGATAACGATGGAACACGACCAGGATGTCTGCCGGTAGCAGCGGAGCCATTAATAGATGACTGGAATCTAAACCGATATAAATAATGGCTGGCTTGCAACCCCAGGTACTCGATTCAGTATTTTATCGATAGACAGTCCCGAGACAATTAAAACATTTAGTGTTTGGCCCTAATTTTGTGGTCTATGTTATAGCTGTCGTTCTACACTACCAGCTACGCAGCTAACGTTAGCTACTACGATGCCATTATAATGAACTAGTCTGTTTACACCGCTCTTTAATCGACACACTCGCGTGCGCTGCAGATAGATAACGTTAGCTCCATTGATTATAATGGGAACGGTTAGGTTAGTTTAGTTTAGTTTGTCTGTCGGTTGTTTGTTGTGAAAACTGGCTACAGGTTAAACGCCTTTTAACGTGGCAGGAACAACTGATTGTCAATGCATGTTTGTAGATTACTATGGGGTGATCAGGGTGATACAGTAATGACATTTTATCAGTTACAGTGTAACTGCCTGCCTGTTTTATTAAATGTGAATCATTGGGCAAGTCAGAAACGGGACTGGAATGAACAATCACGACCTGCAAGTCTACGTGCATATTTATTTATAAATAAATGCATGTCTATTGACCCTTTTAATATATACTGTGTTATAAAAACTCTGAAGTTTGAAAGATACTCATGTATAAAGGGCCAGCTGACTGCTAGAGCCACACAAGCTCTCTTTATAGTCAGCTGAAGCTTCATAGAGAGGTGGGGACAAGCATGGCCATGTTTATCTCACACTCTTGTGACATGGAAGAAGATGCCAGCATCAGAGTATGTGTTCTAGATGGGTCATAGGTTCAAATGTGCATAAATGTATAAGGGATTTCCCCCTTGTTTAATCACCCCTTTCTTTTTGTAGTTCACTTAAATAGTCTTCTAGTAATAATAAAAAATACATTTGAACTATTTCTCCCATTAATTTTTCCCATAAGGATTTTACATAAGGCCTTCTTTTAGGAGTTAGGCTATAGGCTGTGAACCAAACCAACCAGCTGCGAGGTGAATCGCATCTCAACAAAATTTGATTTTATGTAAAAACATTTGAAAATCAAGACAAAAAGGGAAATGTACAAGGCCCATAAAATATTGCAAATGGCATAATTAAAAAGATGGATAAATATAAAAAGGCCTCTAACACTAGCTTGCTCTATTCTTTTTCTATTTGATCTGTTTTCTTTTTATTTATTAATTTAAAAAAACCTTGCTACGTGTATTGCGTTAGGCTGAGACTTGTCATAGCACTTGCATATTGCTCTTTTGTTGATTTTGATTGCTTCCATTGTCCTCATTTGTAAGTCGTTTTGTATAAAAGCGTCTGCTAAATGACTAAATGTAATATTAAATGTTTGATTTAAAGATATAGATGTATTTAAAGATTCGAAGGTATATATTATTTTATTGCAAACAAACAGTTTTAAATATTTAAGTAGGAAAACTGACTTGCAGTGCTTCATGGGAGTGTTTTTCTGGTGTGATTTGCTTGTCTCAATTCTCTGGTTGGTAATTTCCCTGCAGGATTATGGGTAATGTAGTTTAGTACCAGGAGTACTGTTTAGTACTGTTAAAAAATAATTACATTAAGTTGAAATAACATGTTGATGGCATCAACAAAGCTAATTTTGATAAATAAAATTATGAAAAGGATGTCTTCTTTTGTGTTCTACAGCATAAACAACCTCGTAGCTCAAAGTAGGTCTGTTTTTAATGTTTTATGAGTTATCATTCAAATCTGTTCTTCAATGGAGAAAATGAATAGAATTTTTACTCGTGGGACCCATCTGCACTCAATTATGCAACTCACTGGAAAACTGGATTCTGACTGGTCAGTAGTGGTCAATAATGACCGTTGTTCATGGAAAATCAATATGTGTTGGGATGGCAAAATAAATCCAGATCAGAAGTCTTGTAAAAACCTGAAGGGTGAATATGTGACCCTGGTCATAAGTAGCATGGGTATATTTGTAGCAATAGCCAGCAATACATTGTATGGGTCAAAATTATCGATTTTTCTTGTATGCCAAAAATCATTAGGATATTAAGTAAAAATCATGCTCCATGAAGATATTTTGTACATTTTCTACTGTAAATATATCAAAACTGAATTTTTGATTAGTAATATGCATTGCTAAGGACTTCATTTGGACAACTTTAAAGGCGATTTTCTCAGTACTTTGGGTTTTTTGCACCCTCAGATTCCAGATTTTCAAATAGTTGTATCTCAGCCAAATATTGTCCTATCCTAACAAACCATATATCATTGGAAAGCTTATTTATGATGATGTATTTAATCTCAATTAAAGAAAAAAATTACCCTTATGACTGTTTTTTTGGTCCATGATCACATATGGTCATACAAACTACAAGCATAATAATTGTAAAATAATTAAACATGCTGATAAAGCAAGTCAAATTGCGGTCCTGCAAATATGAAGATTAAATATTGCATGTTGTGGATTATTAATTTTCTTTCTTTCTTCACAGGACGATCCTTTAAAAATGTCCCACAGAGAAACTTGGAAGTAAGTACTCTCATGATCAAACTTTTTATGTGATTGTTGCATAGAATAATGTTGTTGTTTTTTTAGATATTCAGAAAGTTTGTTCTTTTCCAAACTGTCACAACCTGTCTTTTTAGTACCTTATGATTGTCACCTTCTGTATAAAAATAGTTTCTAGAGCATATTTGTGTCATTATTATAAATGAACACCGTCAGTGTCGTGCAGGGGGCCTCAGTAGGTCTGGCCTCATGTAATACCCTGCAAAATGAACAGCTTTTTCACAAACTCCTGGCCTATTTTCCTGTATCATTAGCTTCTTGTTTTGTGCATTCGGGATTGTTGATCTCTGTTTTAGCTTTGATTTCATGGCATAAACATTCTCTGACTGTTTCTGACTTTTCTATACACTTACGTGTGTGTGTGTAACTCCAGGATGCAGCATGAGAGGTTGCACGTGAAGCACAGAGGTCATGAGGCCATGCATGCCGAGATGGTTCTGATTCTCATTGCCATGCTGGTGGTCGCTCAGATTGTCCTGGTTCAGTGGAAACAAAGACATTGCAGATCCTACAATGTGAGTGCCATATTATACATTTTAGGACTCTTAACATCACTATGCTTTAATATAAAGAAGTTAATGAATATTGTGAATGTTGTTTCTCTTGTAGATGGTCACACTATTGCAGATGTGGGTGGTTCCTCTTTACTTTACCATTAAGCTTTACTGGTGGCGTTTCCTGTCCACATGGGGCATGTTCTCCGTCATCACCAGCTATGTCATATTCAGAGCCACACGCAAGCCTCTCTCCTGCAGAACACCACGGTAATGCACGGAAATG